CGCGCTCCGCCTCGCCGCCGCGTTTCCTCGCTGTTTACCCGCCGGTCTCGCCGTGCCGCGGGTGGGCTGGCGGCGGGGGATGGGGCCGCGTGTGTCGTGGCGCTGAGGGGTGGTCGCTCCGATGGGCTCGCCCTGGAGGCCGAGCCGGCCAAAAAGAGCACCGAGGATTTCCCCTTTTCAACCCTTTTTCCTCTTTATTTATTTATTTATTTTTTTTCTGGGAGTGGGGGTTGTTAAGTAGGGGCGCGATAACAGCTGAGAAAATCCGTTGCTTTTCGGTATGTTTCGCTTTTTACTAGGGAGGTGGGGGTAGTATTTACACGAGCGCACGTTATTCCCAAGAAACTCTGGAGCGGCTTTCTCTGCGGCATAAGGACCACCTTATCCCGCACCTGCCCTCACGAGCGGTTTTGATTCCTTCTGAGTTGTTACACGGTCTTTTAAAAAGATCGGAGGCATCTTTATCTAACCTTAGAATGTTTTTGCTGAAACGTGATAGGGGATTTCGGTGTTTGTGGCTAATAAGACTGGGTCCTAGTTCGTAGCCTGTTAGAGTACTAAGAGATGTGTATGTTTCTTTGGCAAGTAACTATCCTGCCTTAACCCGCTAACACTTATTTTCTAAGTCAATATTTAATAGTCAGTAGAATGTTTTATTAGTAGAGGCTATTTTGTTCTGTTTTCTTCTGAATCTTGTCTTTTCCTAAAAGTGTGGAGGAGCTAGATAGGCATGTTGATAATGATGCACAAGCTAATGAGTAAAGTGAGGGTCCATCCTGAAGTGTTAGTGGCTGGAGTTGCGTTGGAAAACGCACTTTGTAAGTCACTGCAGTGATATATGTGCCCTTGATATTCTATTTCAAGTATAGTATTAGGATACAAACCTACTAGATTGCAGTGGTTAAAATTACAGAAGCGCTAGTGACGTGTGTTGTTCTCTAGATGTGGACTGTCCCTGGGCTGTTGTTCTAGAGGTTGGTGAGAAGATATTTTAGTCCCAAGAAGCATTTTGTTTAAGTGAGAGAAATGCTGAAAGCAGATTCGCCTGTAAGGGTGTTTCAGATGGAGACTATCATGCGTTTTCACTGTGGTTGTAGTGAAGAACTGTTTCTCTGCACTCTGTTTGTAGTGAAGAAAGTCATGTTCCCATGCTTGGATATCTCCTTGAAGATTAGAAAGAGTGTCCGCAACAAAGCCACCCTTAATATTGTTTTGCTTTTCAAAGCAGAATCATCAATATTTATTCTTTCTAGCCATGCTGAGTTTAAAAAACTGAAATAATTGTCTGTTTACTGATACTCGCTGTTTGAGTGTTGGTAAATTCATATTATGAATATAGACATTACCACAGTGTGCATGCATGCATGAATGAAACCATGAGAACATCAGGAGATTAAAAAGTACAACTGTTACTTTATATGATGAATTTTTATAGAAATTTGTAGCTTGCGGTACAGTGTCTAAGTAATTACTGTTTTACTTCACGTTCTGCTGTTTTATTTTAGTCTTAATTTTAGTTATGAGTAGAATAACTTGTCTTAATAGGGGAGGACTGCTTTACCAACCTGGATTAGATGTTTAGTTTTACTAGAGAAATGAAAATCCTTAAAACTGTGAAATAGTCACCAAAAAAAAAAAAAATCTTAAGTACACATAGTGTTATCCATTGCTGACAATTTCTGATCCAGTATGACTTGACTAAGAGGAGCTGTTTTGGGTCAGTGTGGCACATCTTTAAAATCAAGCTTTAGTCTTTATTTAGCAAATGATGTCTTTGACATGAGTTCCCTTCAAAAGGACTTGATCTCATAGTCAGAAGTAAGATGTATTTGATTGTTCCTGACAGGATCTGGATCTCTGCCTTGGTTTTATGATGGGGAAGGAAGGATGTGTTTGGGAAGCTGAGGGGTACTAGAGAACTTGGAATTTCGAAGTCTGTAATTGGGGCATAAAGTTTGGCATAAAGGGCATTTGGGCGTAAAGATGGATGCTTGTGTTTCTTGGGGTAGATTTGGACTTCTGAACTATTCTCTTTCATGTTTAACAACCATAATATACATCACATTGTTTTTGTGTGAGAGAGTGGAGGTGTGGAAGAGGTCTCTTTCATTCTACTCCTGAAAAAAGCCTGGTCAAAACCAGCCTTTCTTCTGTGCTTTTGTTTTCCAGGTGAAACCTGGCCTCCTGTTTCCCACCATTTCAGGAAAATGGGCACACTAAAACTTGCTTATTGTGCTCTCTTGAAATGTTCATTCAGTGTTTCAGAGGTTTGGCTGGTAATACTGCCGAGAGAAATCATTAGTGTTCATTTGCCTTTCTCCATCACTACTTATTTCTACTTTTTTAAGCCATTTTTGTCTGTGTGTGTGTGTCTGTGTGTGTGTGTGTGTGTCTAGAGAATAGCTATAGTTCATGTGACAGAGACTTCGTATAGCAGCAGGCAGTACCCAGGACAGTAAAAGGAGAATCATAGGTTTCATGAATGGCATTAAAAGACCGTCTTTGCTTCAGAAGTTATGCAATGTTATTATATAAAATTGACAGAAAAAAAGGTGTCTGGTACAGCATTACTAGGTGTAGAAGTCTCTGAATTCATTTCCTATATCCTTTGTTTCTTAAGAATTCACAGTGACGAAGTGGACTGTGCCACCTGATTCTGTCTTTGTGCTGTTCTTTGCTTTCTTCCCTCCTTTCCCCTCCCCTCCTCTTCCACGATTTGGCTCTCGCTTTCATTCAGAAATGGATTGTTTACATTTGAAAAAGCTAGCAGCAGTACAAATTTATTTTAAAGGTGTCTGTTTGTCAGCATTTCATATCATTCAGCAAAGCTCCTGAAGTTCATCTGTGGACTTAAAGCAGTTCTGGGCTAGTTGCAGTTAGGAATGGAGAACGGTTATTCTCTGCACCTTACGGTTTTCCCAAAATATTCCTTACTGGCTTCATTGAAGTTCCTTGTGTTCAGTGAAGCATGGCCTGCACTTCTGCATTTATTTGTTCGTTTTTTAAAGTCAAATACTTAGTAGTAGTAGAAGTGTAGATAAATATGTTTTAAAAATCTGCAAGATTTTTCTCTTTGAAATTAAAGGATTCTTCGAGTTACAGTAAAACATGTACCATCCATTTGAAAACTTATGGCTGGGTAATGGATCCATTGCTGTACTTGTTACATAGGGAAATTGGGAGTCTGGTCTAATTGTGTTTTCAGTGTGATTATTATATACGCTCTAAAGCTTAATGTACAACAACTTTATTGATGAGATTAAAAACTAGGGTGATTTCACCCTTTCTGTAGTGAGAGAGCTGTGTTATACGTGAGCCACAGAAAGAGACTGTGAAATTTGGACAAGCCAAATCACACTGGCAGCAGCTGATACGTAATTTTAATGTTTATTTAGTGTTGATTGTAGAAGTATCACTAAATTATACTTAATGTATTTTATGTAAAATTCTTAATTCAGGTAAGCTCCCTATTTTTTCATATAATTTACTGAAGTCACCGTGTTGAGGAAGTATTTAATAGTAATAATGTATTAATAGTAATAATTGAGTATTGCGGTTAATAGCAAAGATTTATATCTGTGAGACACATTATTGTTTGGTGCTCTCTGATGCGTTTTTCTTTGTTGCTTACAGTTTCTCCAGACAAGAAGTTTGTTATTCCACAACAAAATCACAAATTTGGACTTACGTTGCTGTTTCTGTGATCTGTTTTGGTGGTTATACACCTACCATAATACAGTGAGCTTTATTTTTTGAATATGTGCAGATTTTTGGCTGTGACAAAGCATTTTCTAACTGTTTACGTCAAAGTGTTTCTTAGTGCTATTAGCCTAAATTGGTGAGAATGCATCAAGGCTTGTAATCAGAAATGTACTGCAGTACCTGAAAATGAGTTAGTGCTATAATTTACCTGGTGAGAGCTATGTTTAGGACAAACAAATGTTCATGTTAAAGAGCTGCAAATTTAACAGGAAGTACTGGAACACAGTAATTTGTTTTATTATTAAGCTGTTTGCTTTCAGCAAGAAACTTGATTGTCTTTTAAAGAGCTTTTTAAAGAACTGGACACGTACGTTTTACTTGCCAATACAGTCATTGGTATTGAGGAATGTAGGTGTTTTTCTGTGTTTTTTTTTTCTGCCAATAGAGTCCTGCTCTTTAGAATGTGCAAAGAAAATTGCCCCAAAATAAGCAAGTAAAGAGAGCATTTCTCTTCAGGTCTGTGATGAGACATAATGCCATGGATCAAATAATCTTTGAGGAGAAACAAAAAGTTTTCAGTGGTCATTGATGAAAGATTTATAGTTGAATACTTTCAGAGGGAAAAAATGGTCTGGAATTGTAATATTTTTAATGTCATTTGGTAGAAGAGAATGGGGAAATGATGAAATAATTCTTGCTTGTAATATATTTTTTTTTTCTCTCCCCTCTGAGTGTATCAGAGGAAGTTTCAGAAAGAACCAGGCAGGTTGCATGAGCAGTACAGAATAAATAAAACTTCTTTAAATAGAAAGAGGTCTTTCAAATACATTTGAATATTTAAATTTTTAGTGTTATCTGAGGAAGGGATATTCATAGCCACATTTTTTCTTGTTGTTAGCCCTGATACTGTCAAGAAGTTGAATAGTGACTGGGATGAGAAGTGTCACCATGTTCTGGAAGCTGCTGGAGCTGGGATGTGCCAAAATCCATTAACTTGACTGAATGTATGCCCTGTGCTACCACACAGCTCTATTACCCCTGCTCCATACTACCTCTGCTGTGTGTAGGGTGTGCAGGAGACTGTTGTGTGTGAGAGCCCTGCTCTGCTTCTGGAAGTTGAGAGTGAATGAGCAGGGAGGTACTATAAAAGAAAGGATGATTGAGGTGTTGGCAACTGAATTTTGTTGTAGGAAGTTGGATCAAACCTTACATCTTCTACATGAGCTGCCAGCCAAATCACTTAGGCAAGAGTTCATAGGTGTCAGCTGTCTGTGTGCCATTTATTTTATGAAGGCCTAACTTTCATAGCTGCACCTGCAGGACCTGAATGATAGGCTTCGAAAATATACCTAGTTTAGAAAATAAATGCATCCTCATCACCTCAGATTGGTCCCTTGCACATCCTGGAATGGAATTTTGACCTTTTCATGCCGGGTTTTCCATCTGTCTCAAGAGAAGGAAAACATTTAGAAATGCTTTGTAAGTTAGTTCACTGGTATTTATGCTGCACTGAAGTTTTGTAGAGACATGCTGTCAGATAACGGCATGACAAGATTTATAAAGCAAATTCTGAGGTGTGTGTGGCAAATAAAGGCACACAGTGAAACATGAGGATAAAACTGAGTATTTATTAAACACCATTCAGTGCACTGAATACAGTGGTGTCTTCATAGAGAAGGGCAGATTGATACCAAGATGTTTTTGTTTGTACATGAGCAAAATTGTACAGTTTTATCTTTTTTGTTCTTTGGAAAAATTTTGGCTGAAGTTGCTTAAAAATTAATTAGGTCTTAAAGGATTTAGTTGAAATGCTCAAATTTGGTAGTTGGAAACTGTGAAAATAGTCATTGTAGAAAGAGACAGAACAACTTGGCTATATGCAGCGCTGTCCCCATGTCATACAGAGGGATTATAGATACTGTATGCAGCTTGGTTGCATTATTTCATAAAATTTCAAGAGGATGTAGTTAGTGATTCAGGACTTGTGAAGAGGAACTATTGCATGTACTGAAACTTGAAAGATGCTTACCTTAGGCTGATACAGAAAGGAGTTGAAAAAAAGGAATTATCTGTGTACAAGAGTGTGTATTTCCCATTCCATAATACACAAAAAAGATTATATTAACATGAGTCCAAGATGATGATTAGAACCCATGAACACAAATGCTTTTTCACAAAATACGTAATTAGATTATAAATTACCGTTTGGTCCCTCTGCTTTTTTTTCTAAAGCACCAGCTGAACTTCTGGTTTGTGTTCCTGTGGTTTTTGTAGGTGTGGTCACTACCGTTATCCACATTTGTTAACTCTGCATAGTGTTATTATAATTAACTTTGACACAATTAAGGGTGTTTGGAATTCAGTGCAGATTGTAAAGACATGCTTTGTATTTTCACTGGTTTTACAGTATGTGTAAATCAAGATTTTGGTTTTGAGCTACTATTCTGAAGAGCTTTATTTAGTTTAGGCCATACCTATTTGCTGAAACAGATGAGTGAGATCTCTACTGAGTTAAAATTTTTGGATATTGTTGTAAAAATGTCTTTAAGCTTTACGATAATTGCTCACAGAAGTACTCTTCATCCACAGATCTTAGATTGTAATTCAAAGGTGAGTAGAGGTGGTTGTTGACTCCTCTATTCGAGGTCATTGGTTCAAGTTTGGAGTGCACTTGTAAGCATGGATAGAACTCATAGGAATGGAATCTTGAAAGTATTTGGAAAAAACATATTTGTGTTTCCAGATTTGCTCTGACAATGTACCCTGAGTTCATGTTGGAGGGAAGCTGCTTTTATTTAATGGGTTTTGTATTTTGTATTATTTTCATGTTGAAATACTTAAGCATTTTTTAAAATTCATTATATAATTTATCTTAATATGCAAACTGTAGTTATTAATGCCCATTTGTGACCCTGCATTGAACTTCATGAATACCTTAATTCTTTTTATCCTAGCTGTTCTAGGTCTATACAAATTCCTTTATTTGACGCTAATAAGGGACTTTGTTTAAAAGTGGCTCTTTCTTCAGTTGGAGACTGGTTAATATTTTTAGTTTATGTTTCACAATTAAACAGGAAGTCTAGATACAGAAGATAGTGATATTCCCTCTTTTTTTGCATGTGACATATTAGGTAGAGAATTAGACTCGCCAGAAATTAAAGTCAATTAAAGCTAGGAATTAATGATCCAGTGCTCCATTGCATTGATACTTGTATACGCAAGTACACTATTGCAAATGTTTTAGCCTGTTACGAGTTTTTAGTGGCACTCCAGTATTCATGTAGAATTTCATATGTTGGTTAAAATAATGTTGATCCTGCTCCACATTTGGATTTGGTCACACCACATCACTGACAAAAATATAGCTGAAGAAAGACATTTTTTCACTATTTTTTTTTTAACATCCTGAAGAAGGCAAAGCTTAAAATCCAGATCATAACTCCCATTTTTTTCTTCAGGTCAGATTTGGTCTTCCCCCATCGCTTCTGCCATTTCCTGATGCCAGATTCTTTTTGGGAGGCAATGTTTCTTGTCTTGACTGACAAGAGGTGCTGTCTCTGGTAGGATAACTTCTTTTCTTTGTTTTCCAACTTCTGGACATTGATCTCTTACCTCTCACCCTCTTATTCCCTTGTCATTGTCCTTTCTTCCCTTTGCGGGGCTCTGTCTCTCCTGCATTTCTCCCTAGAGAGCTCTGAAGTCAGGTTTTCTAAGATGTCTGGGGAAGATGTAGACCCCTGTTGGTTTCAAATGCAAATAGAAGTTTAATGCCCATCTCTGTAAGCTTCCTTTGAAAAGCAGAGCTTTAATCTTTGTTGGTGATACAACTGACACTGGACTACTTAGGAAACTAACTATTGCTGAAAATGTTTGGCAGTGGTTTTTCTGAACTACTATAGGAGTTTCTACTCTGTTTTTTTAGAAAGAATTACAGCATATTAGTGGTGAAAACTTTATTCCCTAGTGTCAATTATGGGAGAAGCATTTTTAAAATACTTGTAAAGGTGAATCTGTGCTTAAAATTTCTTCAGGAACAGTTCTTTCCTAGCTTGATGATGTGTAGGGTCTAACTTTTCTCAGCATATTGACAGTAAAGCAGCTGATGTTCTTGGCTGAAGGAAGTTGCTTTTGCCTAGCTCTCACAGATTGTACCTGTCCTAGAAAACTAAATGGATGTATCTTAATGTATAAACAATTCAGTCTAAAAATTAGCATGAATTAATTGGACAGATGGTACAAAGCAGTTTGACAGCATCAATATATTCATACTAGGATTGTAATTTAAACCAATTTCTAAAGAACTGCACCTCCGCAAACCAGCTGTCCAGATGCATGAGAGTTTGGCAGGAGTTTCATGGCAACTTCTAAAAGTAAATATCTGTGTATGTACACTTATATTAGGTAGCAGTTATTGGAGGCTGAGTGGAAGTATCCTGGAGAGAGCTAGTTGGATAACAGTGCCTGAACTGCTTCCTCTGTGCTTATCTCTAGGTACCTGTCTCAAGTATCTAACCTCAGAAACAACAAGTAGCAGGAGCTTTTCTTTATAGTAATAGAAGGACCCTTTTGGGGCGTGTGATTGTTAGTATTTTCTATTTTTGCTATCAAATAAGTGTTACTGTTAAGAAACAGTGCTGAGATGTATATCTGCAGCGTAATTTATCAACTCCTATGCATTTTAGCCATACTTGCTAAAAATCATTGTTCACCAGGAATGATTTTGAAACTACTTAAGAGTCTGAATATAGATAAACCTTTGTTGGTAGGCTTGCTTTCATGATAATTAGAATGAAATCTGCTGTAAAGTGATCTGTGGCTGACCACAAGGGTTTTTCTGTGCTCAAGGTCCCATCACCTCACTTGAACAGAAATTTTTTTGGAGGTTTGTCATTATCTGCATATACTTTTAATATAGGTAATAATGAAGAAAATTGCCTAACCCAGAAGATGTTTGGTGTACAGATGTTATTTTGATATTAATGTGCAAAGTGAGATATGGATTGTCCCTGAAAGTGGAATATTCTCTACTGAGAGGCTAGTTCTGGTTTGCAGATGAAATAAGATATGCGAGAGCAGCTTTACCAAGAGTGATAGTGGTGGAATATAGACCACAAGACAGACGAGTTTTACCGTTGTGATTTGCGGATTTTCTTCTGACTTATCTCATTTCCTGCCAAAAATAAGTAAGGCCAGTAACTTCAGCGGCTGAGTTACTGCTACTGTTGCTTTTCATGTGTCCAGAGCAGCCTGTCTGTAAATGGGAATATGGAAAAATATAGGGCTGTGAAAGAGAAGTCATGATGTCTTTTGAGAGGGACACCTAAGTTTTGTGAATGTAAGCTGTAGTGAATCCCCAGTTTCCTAAATTATGTTTTTCTTCAATCTAGAAGTATGTGAAATAATTCAGATTATCTTAGTTCCATACCCGTCTTCTCCTATGAAGTGTACTGTTTAGATAAGATGAAAATGTCAAGCTGATTTCTGGGTCCTGTATTGGTCAGAGTTTGTTATACCGCCTATGAAGGGTGGCCATTTTTATTATTGTATGGACTTGCATTTGTTAATTCTATTATTTAGATCCCTTATGTATTTATGAACATGAAGTGGAAGATATGTGACGTCCGTTGACTCACAAGGACTTCAAATACATTTTCACCATTCTTCTCCATTGGCTATCTCAATTTTAGAAAACCATAACGATAGAAAGCATACTTGCCCAATGCTGCTGTATACAGAAAGAATGGATGCTGTGATCTGTGAATTACGCTTTTCCAGATTGTCTTGGCACCTAGGGCCTGCAAATTGTCATACAGGATCTAAGAACATACCAAGTATTTCTCATTCTGAAAGGTTTTGGTGAGTAGTTGAGAGAACAGCTTGAAAGATGTGCTTAGAATAAATGACTGTTATCAGTCAAATTTAGTGGTAGATGTTGCTATAGATAACATACTTCTGTCACTCCAGACTGCTGTCTGAAGCTTAATTAGAAGCAGGGGATCTGCAGGATGCAACTCTAAACTTTGAAGTGATGATGCCACAAAAAAAAAAAAAAAAAAAAAAAAAAAAAAAAAAAAAAAAAAAAAAAAAAAAAAAAAAAAAAAAAAAAAAAAAAAAAAAAAGGTTATAAATGTTGTGGGTTTTTTTCTTTTTTTACCCCTCCATAGATTTAGAAGCTATTTGTAGTCTGTTAGGGTGTTATCCAGACTTCCAGCACAGCATCCAGTTACTGGATGATGTGTTTCTTCTTGTACCACAAAGCTCAGGTGTCTTGGAAGCATTAGGAATTCAGTCAGAGTATTCAGAAAGATGGAGTGGTTTGTTGAGAATTCCAAAATGGGAAGAAGGCCAATGTCACTCCAGCTTTGAAACAGGGTAGGAAAGAGGACTGAGAAAATACAGGACAGGACAATCAGGCTCACCTGGAAAGGTGATGGAGCAGGTCATCCTGGATGCAATCAATAAGCGTTACCAATAGGACAGCAGGAAATGGTCTCAAAATGTGCCAGTAGAGGTTCAGGTTGAATATTAGGGAAAAAAAATTGCCTGGAGAGAGTGGTGACACATTAGAACAGGAAGTGATAGTCACCACCCTTGGTAGTGCTAAGAATGTGTAGATGCACTTAAGCACATGCTTTAACAGGAATGGGGTTGAGGGGTTTACAGTTGAGATTGGTGATCTTGAAGGTCTTTCGATGACCATAATGATTCTCTGTTTAGGAGTAGCTAGCCAGAATTCTCGAGGGAAAACCATGCCTGAGCAATTTGATAGTCTCCTACAAGAGCATGCTCAAATGAGTAGATGAGAGGATAGCATTGGGTGTTATCTACCTTCACTTCTGCAAAGCTTGCTTCTCTCATAATATCCTCATAGGCAAGCTGGACAAGTGTTCGATAGATGAGCAGGCAGTGATATGGATTGAGAATTGTCAGAAAGGCAAAGCTGAGAGGGTTGTGGTCAGGGCATGGTGATCAATCTAGTTGGAGGCCTGTAGATGGTGGTGTCCCCCTGAGGTCAGCACTGCACCTCAGTGACCTGGATGAAGAGACTGAACACATTCTCAGCAACTTCTCTGAGAATACAAAACCTGTATCTGATACGCCCAAGGGCTGTTTTGCCATTCATAGGGACCTGGACAGCCTGGTGAGGGGAAGTGCAGAGACCTTCACTTGGGAAGAGTACCCCCATAAGTCAGTACAAGCTAGGAGCAAATGTCTGGAAAGCAGCTTTGTGGAGGAAATGCTGGTGGGCACCTTGCCAACAGGTGTGTGTGTGTGTGTGTGGTCTTATCATTAGATATTTAAGTATCTGAAGGGAGAGCATAAAGAGGATGGGTCCAGCATCTTCACAGTGATGTCCAGTGATAGGATGAGAAGCAAAGGGCATAAACTGAAACACAGGAAGGTCTGTCTGAAAATGAGGAACAACCTGTTGACTGTGAGAGTGACAGAGCCCTGGCACAGGTTGATGAGGGAGGTTGTCACCTTCATTGGCGAAATCCCAAAGCCTCTGGACACTGTACAGGGCAGTGTGTTGTATGTGACCCTGCTTGAACAAGGGGTTTGGCCTGGATGCTCTCCAAAGGTCCCTTCTGACCTCTACAGTTCTGTAATTCTGCGATTCTGTAATACAGCTGTCTATCCAAGAGTCCAATCTTTAGGGGGATGATTGAAATCCAGGGCTCCTGCATATGACTTTGAAGGGTACCTTAACAGAGGCTTTCCAAGGAATGATTCAGGTCAGCATTGATGGATAATTTGTTATGCTTGCATTGAACTCAGTGTTGTATTTCCTCTTGCCTTAACCCTGGTGTTCCTACTCACAAATTGACATTTTCAAAGAAAGCAGACATTTTCTTTTTTCTATAGATTTCTACACAATTGTATAGAATGGCATTGAGGTAAACTTCTCCGTCTAGAAGAAAATGCTGTCTGCATTTTCTTTTATGGTGCTAAGGAGATCTTGGCACTGGGTAGTAATTTTAAAGGTCCATATTGTGGTTTCTTCCATTTTAACCCAGGAGCTCTAGAGGAGCTACTGGGACTCTGAGTGATGTCTCTAAATCTTACTGTTTTTCTCCTGTCATGATTCTAAGGCAAGGCATCTTCTACCTGTACACACACAAAATCCCGGATTTATAGTGGGTTCCAGCGCAGGCACTGCCTTCCTGTGTGTTTGTGCCTGTTACCTGTATTGAAGGATGTGTGCAAGTTGAGGGGAAAAAAAAGCTTTGAAACTGTGGCTATAAATACATTGTATGCAGACAGTACTTCAAATACTCCTAAGGCAATTGCAGACTAAAATCTCTTTATTTTTCATGGCATGATAATGCAGATTTGTACACTGTTGGAAAACATGAGGCACTAAATCAGTCCTGAGTTTCAGTGCTCTGCTGAGAAACAGTGATTGTAGCATAAGGCAACAACCTGCTCTGGCACATGTGGAAGAGCCTAGAAAAAGTGGAATTCATGCCTGCTGTTTCCCGTAGGAGTCTGTGTGGTATGGTCATCTGTAAGGAGCTCATGAAATGTGGTAAAATAATGGTTGCATTAAAATTTTATT